CAGGTAGAGAAACTGAATGAATAAATAAATGAATATTCTCTCTCAGCCTCATATTTTATAATTAGATTCTAACACCTGTGGGCAGACCCCTTGTCTGCATCTTCCTATGTTTAGAGCAGTCTACATTTCCTTATTCAGCTGAAACAAAAGCTTTTCAGGTGGAATATGTTATTTCTAGAGTTAGTCTAGTTTATCCAATAACTTCAACTTAGCCCTTCAATTCTGGGGCTTAGTTGAGGATGACCAATTCAACTATGTTATCATTGCATCCTTAACCCAGCATTTAGCCATAATCCTCAGCAAAGTTGGAAAAAAAGACACTCAATGTTTCTTTGTCCATCCACTGACAAAGTCCAGTGAAGCCCAGGTATTTCTTGAAATAGCTGTATCAACACAGAATAGCTGTGATGCATCACATTGTAAACAATTGTATGTCAGGACTTTGCTTCTTTTAACCATTGTAGGAAACTGGGGTTGGAGTGAAGAGATAGCTGTGGGGGAGAGTGGGCAAGGAAGAAAGAGTGATGTGTGTTAGATGGCATTCCTTCCTCTTCCCCTCTATCAGCTCACTAAGAAAGCAAAAGGATACTTTATTTCTGGATACCTGTACAGAACTCTAGCATAGCACCTGTCATAATGCATGTGTTTGTTTACAGGTCATCTCCCCCATCAGGCTGAGAGATGACTTCTTATATTCATCTTTGTACAACCTTTGCATTTTCTGCACCCAGCATAGTTCCTAGAGCCCATCTGTGGAAAGAGGGAAGAATGGATTTTCTTCATATACAGGAATCGTTTTTCATCTTTTCTGGGTTATGGATATTTTTTTTTCAGAAATCTTATGAAAGTTGAAGACCTTCATCCCAAGGAAAAAGACGCATGTAGGTACAAGCTTGCAAAAAATTGTGTACAAGTTTAGAGAAATCACAGATGCCTTGAAACAAACCCATGGACCTCAGGTTAAAACTCCCTGAATTAAGAGAGGGGTAGTAGGAAATTGTAAAACCACTTCTAATTCATACTCTTGGTCAAATTAATATCACAGCTGAGGTGGGGCTACTAGACTCAATAAATATTATGATTAGATGTGGAAAGAGCATCTTAGCAACTGTGAGGTGATGGTATCAAGGCCGGTGTGAATAAGGACTTGCATGCAGTTTGCATTAAGTCTAACCTGCCTACTGCTGGGATGAATTACAGACATCTTCCTTCCTTTCTTGGTTTAATGGGCTCAGGGGTTTCTATTTTCCCATTAAAATTGCTCCTCCCTAATCCACCCTTTGAATTTCTCTGGCATTTACCTCCTTTCTCACTGCTCACTAAGTCCTCCAGATTCAAGCTGATTGCATCATATCTCAGGACTTGTGGTTATTCCAGATCTTGAGAGACTGAACTGATCTCTGTAAGACTTCAGATGAAAACTCTGACTTAGACTTTATGACTAAGCCATAAAGTACAGAAATACGTCATCAAAGTGAATTAGATGCCTGCTTATCAGATTTGGGCACCTTGAAAAATGTAAGGAGTAAGAATGTTCTATACCTGATGGCAAACTATCGAGACTAATTTCGCCTTCAGAAATATTTGCTAGAACATGTTCTAAGGGTGAAAATTGCCTCATAAACCTAATCAAATAAGACTTTGGTTACAATTTCAGCACAAATGCAGTCACTGCTGTTTCCCACCACTATCAATTCTCCATCATTATTAAGGAGTGCTCACAAGGTGGGGCAAAGATAATTTGCAGTCTAAACTTTCTTTTTATCCACGACTTGAATTGCTCTGGAAATTTTCCTTTCAGATTTTCTGTTTGTTTAGTAGGTTCTTTATAATACACGTGTGACTAAAATTATTTTAACAGCCTTAATTGTATTAAAATGACAAAGATTCTGTAGATCTTGTGACAACACATTCCTCTGTTCTGTATGAGTTTATTTAATTCCTTTTCAGTAGTTGATATTTGAACCTCTTTCATTTAGAGTAGATCCAGCAACACAATACGCTAAGTGCCGAAACAGGTCCAGGAGGGGTTAAAGAACACACCACCAACACAAAAACTGCCACTCTATTGTATAATCTACACAACTTTGTAGTTGAATCTGGGTTCTTGAGAAATTTTAATCAAGTAACTTGGAAATGTGATATGATGGTTGGGAAGTAATATAAAGGAATTCTACAAACTACTAAATCTGCTTTATGTTTTACATAATCCTACTGTAATTTTCACCAAGAGGAAATTTCCAAATTTTACATGCTTAAAGTTTCACTATTTACTGTGCAAAGAGAAAGTTTTATGAAGGTGGATCTTTGGGTGATGGGGTGGTTTTAAAAATATAACATGAGACTATTTCAAATATGAAATAAAAGGGGAAGCAACTGCGACATTAATGACCACAGAGGGAAACATTGTTGGAAGTAGGGGTAGTATGAAATTTCCTAAAGACACAGTGATCAGATAGTTATTTTTGGTAACCCTGAATATCAGGCAGGTCATTGTATTTTTTGGTCAGAGCAGAGCAAACACTGTTTACTAATGAATTTCTATTTTTAGTCATTGAAATTTTAAGGACAAAATGAAAATCTAAGTCTCTCTGCTATTGCAAAGCATGGTCATGAAAACCATCCATGTAAGAAGTTTTTCAAAAAATGTATCTCAGGGCTGGCCCCATGGCCCAGTGGTTAAGTTTGGCATGCTCCCCTGCTTTGGCAACCCATGTCCGGTTCCCAGGTGCGGATCTGCACCACTGTTGGCGGCCATGCTGTGGCAGCGACCCACATACAAAATAGAGGAAGACCGGCACAGACGTTAGCTCAGGGCGAATCTTCCTCAACAAAAAAATAAAAAACAAACAAACAAAAAATGTATCTCTGTAAAAGGACATGGGGAGGGACCACTGAATTTTCAAATATCCATTTAAATATTAGTATGGCTTGATGCAGGGCCTGATGGAGTGGGGCCTGAGTCCAAAGACTCCCAGTCTAGGGGAATTCCCAGTCTAGGTCAAATCACACTTTTGGAGACCCCTCTTCACTTTTCTCTTACCTAATAAGGGGAAATATGATTTTTAAAAAGTCACAAAAGGGCAGAGAAGTGTTGAGGGAAAGAGGAAGGAAGAGGCCTTGCCAATTCTTGACTTGTTAATTAGGGTCAGAACAGTACTGGGGATTTCCTATACCCTACATTTGTTGAATGATTACATAGGTCTGGGGAAAAGGGATATGCTCAGAGTGATTCACCCAACTTTTTTTTAGTATTGGGGTTCTGCCTGGTATGTTGCAATTTCCTCTCCTCACATTATGTATTGACTAATGGAGAGGGGAGGTCTCCAACAGGTGTTTACTCCAATTCAAAAGCCTTGGCCAAGGTCTTGGCCTTTTGGGCAATGTAGGGTTTGAATCTTCCTCACTCAAATGAGTAGGGCTCTTACCAGTTAGGAATAGACTTCCCTTGGGACTTGTTAGAACAGCTTACAGCAGCCATGGAGATTTGAGGGTAGTTTCCTGTTCTGCTTTGCCATCTTGGGGTGGCTCTGAAAAGCTTTCTTACCTCTGACAGGAAGAAAATGTTCACAGGATTGATTAATTACTACACAGAATGCAGTGGATAATTGAGCAACCTAAATCAGATGTTCAGATGGAAAGATAGGTAGACTCTGATGACACAAGTTTAAATTCTAGGTCTGCAGGTAAAGCTTTGCAAAGGGCCCCACCCCAGAGACACCTGCACTGGATCCTCCTTTGCTGAGAGCTTCTTCCCAATTCAGCACTCTTAAGTCCAGATGAATTGCCCGGATTCCTGGGAAAAAGGCTCTATAAATTGTATATATAATATATATATAATACATCAGATTAATTTTTATGATTTGTAACTATCTTTGTAGACAAAATAACGAAAACGAAACCAACAGCTTAAAAACGTTGCCCAGTGGCTGCTGGCATCAATATTCCACACAAGATTAAAATTATTTCCCAAGATGCATACCCTGTGCTCAAAATGATATTTTTAATAACTTGATTAAAAATTTCTCAGAAGTCTATTAGAGTCAGGAAACGGTCTGCGGTGTAGGTGAAGATTTTCAGTTTTTGCAACGGAAACTTTTGGCCCCATGAACAGAATAGCAACAACTCAATTAAATGTGTTCTTCCTCCACCCTAGCCTAGTTCAAAGGCAAAAAACGAAAAACTGTTTGGAAGAGTGGTGTTTAGGTTTGCATTTCTCGTTTTCCCTTTAGAACAACCAGGGGGATTCATAGGATCCAATTTTTAAATAATCTTTTATCTCCCACTCTGAATAAACCCGGCCACCCCAGCACAATCAGAAAGATTTTTTTTCTTTTTAATTTTCAGCTTTTAAAGGAAGGGAGAGGTGGGAGGGCAAGAAAGAGGAGGGTAAAAGAAGGGGGAGAAGGTACTTTAATTAAAAACAACCAATAACTCGAGGTTTTTAGGATATAGGCTATTTCCTAATTAAGAAATGAGTTTGACAGCCCTTTGGCCAACTCAATTTTGACACTGCTATGAAAACCCCAAAGGGCTGGTGGCTGTCCAAGCGACGAAACTCTATTCCCCTGCAAGACCCCAAGCCAGCCCTCCCCACCGCGCCCGGCTCTGGGGTCCTTCCCCTCATTGCGCAGACACCTCGGCTCCGTCAGGTCTGTCTCCTCCTGAGCTCAGCTCCGCGCTGGGCCGGCCGCCTCGAGCCCGCCGCCACCAGGTCGGTGCAAATACTTTTTCCCTCCCCGGGGCCCCAGGCGCGGACGCCTCCCAGCCGTCCTCCCTCCCTCCCTCCCAGCCCGCGGGGCCCTTTCCCGGCTGGGGAACTGCAGCAGCCCGGCCGCGGCGGCGGCAGGAAGCGAAGCCCTTGTTGATGCTGTTCCATGACGCGCCTCCCCGCCCTCCGGCGGCTGCCCCGGCTCTTCCCCGCTCTGGGGCGCCCCCCTCCGCGCCTGCGCAGTGCCCCGCGGGGGGCGGGGCTCAGAGTCCTGTCAGCCGCGGCGGCGGTGGCGGCGACCGTCAGTTTTCGCTGAGGAGAAACACGAAAGGGACCCGTTGGCTCTCCCCCCCTCCCTTTCCCCGCCCTGAACCCCCCTCCTGGCTCGCCGGGAATTAGTCCCCGTGGAGTTTCTCCTCCGCCTTGCCGCCGTGTCCTTGGTCCTCGGTCTGGTGGAAGTCACTGCCCTCGAGGAGGAGGCAGCGGCAGCCGCCCTCGCCTCGCCGCCCCCGGTTCGGTGCCCGCGGTCCCGGAGAGGAGGTGCCGCCGCCACCGCCGCTCCCCCCCTCCCGCTGCCCTCGGGCCGGGCTGGGTCGAGCTGCGATGCCCTCGGACTTCATCTCATTGCTCAGCGCGGACCTAGACCTGGAGTCGCCCAAGTCCCTGTACTCGCGAGGTGAGTCAGGTTGGGGGCTGGGGCGTAGGGGCGGGGAGGCCGGGCCCCGCGCGCCCGGGGGGTCCGGGTCCGGGGTGTGGGCGGCCCAGCCCGGGCCGGGATGGCCTGGCTCGGGGGGTGGGGAGCGGCCGACCGCGTCTGGTGATGGTGGAAGGGGCGGGGGAGGAGTGGCGGCCCCTCCCCCGCGGAGCCGCGGGCCTCGCGGGGCCCAAACGCCGTCGGCCCCCGGGTCTCTGCGGCACTGGTGGCTCCGAGCGTCCCTCGCCTGTCCGGCCCCGCCACCCTCCTCGAGCCGCCGGCCGGGCCTCCCCCCCTCGGGGATCACCCGGCCTGGGCCCCGCGCTGCGGCCGCAGCCATCGGTGCGCCGCGGCTCCTCTTCCCAGGACCATCCTCCCCAGCAAAGTTGCCCCCAACGGGCGGCGTGGACTGGGGCCGGTTCTGGGTGCAGGGTCACCATTTTTATCCCCCTCCAGGTGGTGCGTGCGCCGTCGTTCTACCCCCGCTCCCTCTGGCCTAGTCCACTCCCTCCCCTGGTTGGGACGGCCCCCCTCGACCAGGCGTTCCTGCTCTCCTCGTCCTTTTACTGCTGGAAAGGGCCCGAATTTTCTTTTTTTCTCTCTTTCCACCTCTCTGGTATTCTGATCATTTACTTCTCCCTCTCTTTTCCAAAGATCGGGGTGCTTTCTCTGGATTAGTTTTATTCTCCTGTCGCAGGGGTACCAGCTCAGGCTCAGACGCTGCCCTTTAGGAATTTTCTCTTTCGTTGCCGTTCCAGGGCTCAGTGCGGGGAGGGGGCGTTGGACAGAGATTCCCATTTTAAAACTCTTTTGGCTAAGCCCTGGAGGGGATTCCCGGGATCTAAAATATTAACACTTGAGCCGATCTCTACTGGGGTTAAATTCCTATACTGGACACTACAAGAATGTGTTAGAACGGGTTCCCTGTGCAAGGGACTTTAAGCCAAAATGTTCCCACTGCACTCTTCACCACTGTTGAAAATACTGGGAGGGGGCAAAAGACATAACTGGGTTATTAGGTTTTCGTTTAACCATGTTAAAAAAAAAAAAAAAAGATGTACCATTGTGAGCCTCCTTCTTGAGAAATTCAGCATTTCTTCAGTTTTTTGGTTAGAATCCATCCGCTGATTCCACCCCCTCCAGAAAGGGGGACTTCAGCTTCATATTAGTATATTTAAATTAAGTGAATCCGAGTGAGAGAGTTTACTGTGGAAGGTACTGGACTTTATAGACTGACGACTGAGTTTCTACACAGAGTCCTACTTAATGACTGTAGCCATTGTCTGTTGCTCTGATGACTTTAGTTGGCAGTCACCACCCTGTAGGACGTTTTTCGGGCAACGTTACCTGAAGTAGTTTGGAAATATTGTAGTTTTGAGTGTTAGAACGAAGAGACGATATCAAGAGATGATTCTGAGAGAAGGGCTAATGTGGTACAATTGGGTGCTAAAAATAGTCAAGACATTAACACCATTTGTGCAGTAATCATCAGATAATTTTCCATGAAACAAATGCTTTATGAAAATCTAAGTTTAGCATAGAGACCAATGTAGACGCAATTCAGCCTTCTTTTGCAGAGAATATATTCACTAATATGAGCTTTAGCTCTTAAAAATACATGACAGTTATATAAGAGAAGTATGCTGTCCTAGGCTTTTTTTTTAAAATCATTCAGCATAAAAAGTACTTAATGCTTTTTGTGTTTTTCAGATTCTCTGAAGTTACACCCATCACAGAATTTTCATAGAGCTGGACTATTGGAAGGTCAGCAAAGTGCCATTTTAAAGCATATTGTGTGAGTATGCAAAGGCTTTCTCTGAAATGGAGTTTAAATGAGAAAGTGTGAAACTTTGCAAACTCATACAATGTAGTTTTCTCCTAAGCCTGATCCTTCTTTTAGAGCAGCTGAATGTTTCAGTGAATTTGGTTGCTGTGTTTGATGTACTTGTTAGCTATTGTATCTGCTTTGAGAAGCCTTGAAAAAAACCCCCAAAATCTTTAAAAATCATGTGTTGGGTGTTCTACTTTAGAATTCCAGATCTTAATTCTAGCTTTTTACAAACAAACTGAATATGAAAAGACTCAAATATTAAGGTCATGAACATAACTAAAAGAGTGACACCAACACATATTTAGTTTGAAAGTTAACAATTTAGAACTTTTTATATGCTGAGCATTTCAAAATGGTATATTAATTATTTATTACAAAAACATTGATGTCATTACTATTGCATTATTTTTTTAAGGATAAGGAAAGCCAAGTAATAGAGATGATGACTGGGCTGTGCTTAGAAAAAAGGGTTTTAGAAAGTTCTGGAAATGTTAATAGAATGTGTAGAATAATTTAAACAGCTGACTTTTAAAAACTTTATTTTGTGTTGTTTTTAGCATTTTAAGACCAAAAAAGACTATTTGTGTTGTTTCTGTAGTTTTTGAAGTAATTTCACATACATCATCTTTGAATCTTGTAATCCTGAAATTGGACAGCAAGGATATTAATTTCTCCATTATAGAGAGGAGTAATCTGAGGCTGAAATTAAGACACTTAGAAAAAAAGTCACACAGTAGCAGAAACAATGCTTTTTGTATTTTAGTTGGTTCTCTACGCAAAGCCAAGCTGCCACTGTAAAATATATATGTAACTAGTAACTTAAACATTTTGTGATCTACTTTAAAAAGGCCCTAAATGTTTAAGTTTAACTTTAGTATAGATGTTTGCCTCCCATGTGGTAGTCTGGTATATTGGGGAAAAAAGTGGGTTTTGTAACTGAGCTTAAGTTAGCTACTTATTAGCTCTGTGACCTTGGGCAAGTGATTTTACTTCCCTAAACTTTAAGATTCTTTCTATAAAAATGTATATAATCTCTTAAAAGTTAGTGAGCTAATGTCTATGAAGCGGCCTAGTATAGTGTCTGGCTTAATAAATGTTAGTTTTTTCCTTTAGTGTTGGCTACATTGTTTTAAGAGTATAATTTAGAGCATATAAAAGTTCTCAAATTAATTATTGATTATATTTATACTTACAAGAAGCCCATAGATATATATTAGTATGAAAATTAACTACAATTTCTGGTGAGGAGTTTTTACAAGTGTTTTTTAGTGAGATTTCTGTTTTTTATTCATGTTGTTGAATTTGTGGAGTCATATTTGTACAAACCCACCCATTTTCTGGACAACAAACCAGAGAGTGTCATAATCATAGAGATTATCTGGAGAAAGATATGGAAAAAAATGACTGTTATTTATGGGAAAAAATGGAAAGATACGGAAAAAATGACTGTTATTTATTTAAGTAAATATTTTTAACAGGTTGGTGGAAGTGCAGACAACCATTTAATATGTATTTTTACATGTTTGTGTCTAGCTACTTTCATTAATTTTTCCTTTTAGTTGAGAGAATGCTCAATTATTTAAAGTAAGACCACCTTTGTACAGATTATATATAAAAGGTAAAATGTTTTAAGTATCACGTGTCATGTCCTTTTATATCTTTGATACAGGGTTTCATAAGAAAGCTGTTTGCTTGTATAATGAAAGTATTTAATCTATGCATCCTATTTCTATTTTTAACCTTTTATTATGGGCATTTTAAAGAATACATAAAAGTAGAGAATAAAATAATGAACCCCCATAGCCCCATCACTAAACTTTAACAATTATCAATATATGTCTACCCTTGTTTCTTTTATCCTCTACCCTCCTCCAAGCTGAGTTATTTTAAAACAAATATGAGAAATCATGTCATTTCACACACAAATACTTCTGTATGATAGTGATATTTCTTATATTAATTTTTAAAATATTTTATTCCAGGAAATACATATTATAATTTATTTCAGCAAAGTCTCTCATGTCTCTCCTGCCCTCTTTACAAGATATAGTACAGCAGGAGCCTACTACTTCTAGTGTGTAGTGTACCTTGTGATCTATGTTAAAATTGTAGGCCGTGTGGTCAGACTTGGGTTCAAATCCTTGTTCTGATGTTTGTGTGTGGCCTCAGCTTAGTCATTTAATCTTTTTGTGCTTCAATTTTCTCACCTTTAAATGAGGGCAATAATAATATCCTCATCATAGGTTGTTCTGAAGATTATTTGAGGCAAATTCATGTAAAGCGTTTAACCTAGCACATAGTAAGTGCTCAATAAATGTTAGCTAAATTAAAAGATTTTAAACAACCCTCTATATAATGTTTAGTACATACCAGGAACTTTACAAATATGAACTCACTGAATTCTCATAACAACCCTTTGAGATGGTTATTATTATCCCATTTCACAGATGAGGAAGCTAAGTCATAGGGAGGTTCAGAACCTTACCCAGAGTCACAGAGTTGGTAAGTTGTAGAGCCAAGATTCCAACTCAGGTAGTCTCACCTTAGAGTCTGTGCTCTTAACTACTGTGCTGTACTGACTCCGTAGGTTGTATAATATGAAGTATTATCTAGTAATATTTGTGTATGTATGTTTTACGTCAGTAGTCTAGATTTCCATCTAATGATTAAAAATCCAGCCAGGGTGAGACGAATTTAATTATCACCATACAATTTGTTAAATTTTTTATAGAACATACTTTTTCCAAATTTAAGTTCTTTCTTTAGGAAAACAAGGTTGGAAAACCTGCACTTGGGTGTTATTAAGCTTTAAAAATAGATTCAAAAATCTCTTACCATCCAATTAAGGTTTGCATTTATCCTACATATCAATGCTGGTCCTTCCTGCTGCTTCTCTCTTTTTTTTTTTTTTGACGAATAGGCAAGTAGTATTTTTTTTTTTTTAATTGAGGTATAGTTAACATATAACATTATAATAGTTTCAGGTGTACAATGTAATGATTCGATATTTATATTGGGAAATGATCACGACAATAAGTCAAATTAACATGTGTTACCGTACATGGTTCCCATACTACCTTTTTATTTAATGTGGTAATTGCCTAACAGTGGGAAAAGAGGCTAGCTATTTAATGCAATAATACATAGCTGTTAAAATAATGTTTCTGATGACCCCATGATTACATGTGAAACTCTTAATAAGTAAATAAAAGAGGTACTGTTGTAATTATATTAAAAATAACTTGCATAGAAAAAATCCTGGACAAAAGTATGTACTACAAGTTTTTACTTTTTGATTCTATTTTTGCATTTTCCCTACCTTCTTTAAAGAAGATTGTTTTCTGTATATTAAAAAAAATAAAATAGTACAGTTAGGGCGTTCAGATGTGAAGGCTAAGATTCCTCTTTGGAGTGCCTAGAAAAAAAGCTCAACTACACAGAGAAAAAGGTACCATTTCTTAAACTTTCTGTATTGAAAAATATTCGTTTTGGCCTGTATTGTTTGCCATATGAAAAACTGAGATGAAACTGAAACTAAATGAAAGTAAATAAGATTAAGAGGTAATTCTAGAAATATAGAGGTGTAAGATAAGATGGTAGAAAATCAGATATAACAGGAAAAATAATATAAACAAACTGGAAAAAATGGAATAATAAAAGCAATGGATTAAAATTTTAAAATGCTTTTAAGGGCCGCCCTGTGGCTTAGCGGTTGAGTGCGTGCGCTCTGCTACTGGCGGCCTGGGTTCGGATCCCGGGTGCGCACTGACGCACCGATTCTCCGGCCATGCTGAGGCCACGTCCCACATACAGCAACTAGAAGGATGTGCAACTATGACCTACAACTATCTACTGGGGCTTTGGGGAAAAAAAAAAGGAGGAGGATTGGCAATAGATGTTAGCTCAGAGCTGGTCTTCCTCAGCAAAAAGAGGAGGATTAGCACAGATGTTAGCTCAGGGCTGATCTTCCTCCCCCCCCCCAAAAAAAAAATGCTTTTAAAAGCACTAGTTAAGAGATTACATGATAGATCAAATTAAAGAACCGGTTAAACTGGCTAAAGACCAATATGATGTGATCTTGGTATGAATTAAACATTTTTGGTATGAATTAAACATTTAAGACTAGAAGATTTTTAAAAGAAAATATGAAATCTTACAATGAGTTATGGGAAAATAAACTACTTTTTTTTTTCTTTTTTACTACTGTCAGTCAGTCTGTTTGATATGGTACCATGCATAATTATACTTTATAGTTTACAAATGAAAATCCTAAAAATAGTGGCAGTATTTTACTGACTTTATGGAATATTTCTGAATTGCCATTAGGCCTGATTTATTTCTCTTTCTAGGGTCTGTGTTAGTAAGGTAGTTAGGCTGTTAACTACCACATCTTAAATGACGAAATATATGAAGATATCTTACTGGGAAGGATTTTTGGAAAATTTTTAACATTAAAAATAATCTATTGAATTCTTTTCTTGTCTAGTATCTATTAATCTCTATTGATCCATACCCAGTAAACCAAAAATATCATTATGGAAATGAAGTTCAAACATATGACAAGTCATACCTAGTTCATCCCAACTTCTTGCTTGTAGGATCTCTCTCTCTTTGACTTCCTACCATATCTTTTTGTGTTTCTTCCTAACCTCTACTTTCATTATTTTCATTCAATACTAGAATTCTATTGTTATTACAATAAAAGGTAGAAATTCACATTTAATCAGAAGTTTCTTGACCCGATCTTAATTCACTCTTGACTCTACTGTAATTATTCCAGGAGCCCCCTAAGACTTTAAAGTGCTAGTACAGAAAAACATTTCTTATTTTGATCAATATTATATATAAAAAATAGCTACTTGTATTAGAACAAGTTGACTCATCAGATTATATTTTCTATTAAGAATAACAAGTAATTAGAAAAAAATAAAAG